TCAATATCACTGTCTCCTCCGGTGATAGATAATGTCTGATCATACTAATGACCTGCTCTTAGATGTTCTTCGGCTGATCGTTCGGCACGCGAGTAGTGCAAGGCAGATCCACGAGCATCAATTCACGCGAACCCGTTCGAATCCCTGTCATGACGCCTCCTCCTCGATCTGCTCCTCTTCGATTACGGGGAGAGCTCCGCACCGCACGTGGTTCTTTTTTGTTTTTCCAGAGGATAAGATAATGTCCACTTTTTTCCCCCCCCTCAGGTAGTCGATGTCTTTTCTGAAGGCGATGATGATGATGTGTTTTGTAAATTGGTGGAGAGAATGATCATGGTGCTGCTGCTGCTGCTGATGATGATAATGATGATCATGTAGTACTCGAAAGAGGCGGACGAGGAGGACAACGTGAAGTGGGAGGAGGTGGTGGGGGTGTAGCGGCTCATGTGCATCATCAAACTTATCATTATCATCCACACGATGTCTCATTCTCTCCACCAATTTAGAAAAGGTCGAGTCTCTCTGTCTCCGTGTTTGTGTAAGTACCCTGCTTTCGTCGTCATCCTCTAGCGTTCGTAGCCGGCCTTGTCGTTTGCGTCCGGATTTTAGCATCATCATCATAGAATCGTTGTTGTGGACGAAGAGGCCGAGGAGAAGGAAGAGGAGGAGGAGGAGGACGAGGAGAAAGACGAGGAGGAAGAGGAGGAAAAGAACGGAAGGACATGTCGCTCTCTCTCTCTCTCTCTCTCTCTCTCTCTCTCTCTCTCTCTCTCTCCCTCCCTACGGTATGTCTTGGGTTCTATGTTGGCCATCACTGTGATCTTCCTCTTCTTCTCACATTCATTTTTAATCGTTCTGCAGCTCCTCTCATCTTCGCCTGCCCGACAAAGGACGCTTCATCATATTACCAACTCTATGACTGTCCGCCCATCGCCTTAACCCCGCTTCATCAGATTACCACTGCATGACTATGTCCTCCCATCCCAGGCTATATACGAAGAAGCTTCATGGGACGATGCTCATGTTTTCACTGGTCGCGAGTTGCATTACTCCCGGAGCTCCCCTCTGTTATCTCCTTGGAACGATAGTGGAGTTCTCTACTGTTCGATTGGTCGACCTGAATAGACATCCTAATAGATTCGCACGTGAAAAAATTGACGGTTGTGGAGATGAGATTCAATATCACTGTCTCCTCCGGTGATAGATAATGTCTGATCATACTAATGACCTGCTCTTAGATGTTCTTCGGCTGATCGTTCGGCACGCGAGTATTGCGAGGCAGATCCACGAGCATCAATTCACGCGAACCCGTTCGAATCCCTGTCATGGCAATTTTATGGTCCTTGATGTCTTTGTGATAACCCACCAACTGCGCGGTCGCGATATTGACGACCGATTCCACATCCTTTTCTTTGATCTGATTCTTGAGAGGAGTGCTCGATAATGAGTTTGGTGATGACTTGTTTAACCATCTGCTTGTCCCCTTCATCTTCACTCGGTTCGACCTTCGCCACCACTCCTTCCCATCTAGTATTATCGTCGACCGTCCGCGCCGACTTGAGTCGCAAAATGAGGGGCACTCGGGTCACGAGACCCTTCCCTCGTGGCGGATAGATTCCAAACAGCGATTCCAACACGCTGGAATTGCCACTGGACTTGTCGCCTAGCGTGAGAGCGACATCTTGAACTCCGTCGGCCTGTGCTCGATAATATCGAGCATAGGCCGGATCCTCTCGCTGTAGCGGCACGAGAGCGACATCTTGAACTCCTAACACTTCCTGCCACAACCAATTTCGAAAACACATAGAATGGAAATTCGTAATAGGACTTACTATAATTATCCTGCGAAATTTGATTCTCCATGATAATGATTACATCGTCTGGGGGTTGATTAAAAAAACTCTGGGACGCTGAAAAATCGGATCACAAATACATGAACAATATATACAACACGAAATTATGAATGAGAAGAATGTAAATATATCTAGAAATAATTATCGTCCTCCTAGATGTGACTCAAAAAGCTTCTGGACCTGATGACTGCCTCGGTATTCCCGAGGAAAATTCAGTACGTGATGTATATGAGCGAGCTCGCGTGATCGCACACTTGTCGCTCTCCTAATTCGTTCTCCATAAGAATGGAACGGGCAAACATCATCGATGTATATATACTGAAAGTTGTCCCAGATGCAGCTGGATTTGGGGCAACATTCACTCTACGTACACCAATTATGTTCTGACATTGCGATAATTAACGGACTTGTTTCGTCTAGTGTCTTTTCGGCTGTACGCCATAGCTTCGCAGGGAATTAAAGCGTCGTTGCCTACTTCAGTGAAAATCATTTTCACATTTTCTAATTCATTTCCGTCATTGATTTCGTTGACGTCGGATCAAGAAAAAATAAAAATTTTAACTAAGTTGCCTCCGTGCGGAATTTATGTAGTTGAATTTGAAATGTAGTTTTCAACTATCTTTAAGAAGGACGTAACTCTGTGTGTGTGTGTGTGTGTGTGTGAGAGAGAGAGAGAGAGAGAGAGATAAACACTTGTAAATACAGACAAAACGTACGAGGTTTTACTATCGCAGCATACACGTAATGTCCATGGCGTGCGACCAAGTCGTGATTACCCTTGTACCTCACTGGTCAGGTAATCCTTTCAGCCACTATCCACAGAATATATACCTGTCGGTCCCCGTACTTCACCACCTCTTTTCACTATCCCTACAGTGTACTCATCATCGCTCCTCTGGATCTCCCCTAGTCTTCCTTCCTTCGTCGTCCTTGTTACCGTCGATTTCCCGTATGCTTCAATCTGGAGACGCTCCCATCATATCTAATGATTGTCCTGCGTGTATTACGATACTATCGTCCCGTCCCAGTCCTATCTCACCTTAGTCTACGCTTATAATCTCACAGTCCGTGTACTGACTCGTATTTTTGTCTTCGTGTGTCATTTTGTTTTGGTTCATTTTACGGCCGTGGATTCGTTCATTTCCAGGTGAGTTCGTTTCTCCTTCCTTGTTGATCGGTTTGTTTCCCACTCTCTTGGTTCTCCATATGATTCGCATGTTTGAGAAATGTCGGTGACATTTTTATGTCATTATATTTGTAGATTGTTTTCCGTTTTTTCTCGTGTATGTCTGTTTTGTTCCTGTAAATATTTTCTTGTGTTTCAGAATTATATGTTTGTTTTGAGTCTCGTCTTTTATATCTTTTCCTTTCTTTTTTGCTCGACATCTTTCGCCAATCTTTACTTTGGACTTTCGGGGTTATATTCATCGTTTGGAGTCTCCTGTCTTTCCAGGTACTCTCGAAATTTGTCTCGGATGTCCGCGTCCCTGCAGTTTCTGATAAACGAAATTATTGCGGCCCGGGTTATCCTCCATGGGTAATCCATGAGTCGGAGTTCCCGTCCGAACATCTCGATTATGGGCGGCAGATCATCCGTCTCGTATGTGTTCGCTACCATTCGATGAAATGTACCGATAATCGTCAAGACTTTGGTTCTCTCGGATGCCGCACTCCTGAAGTGACGCAACGTTCTGAGAGAGAGAGAGAGAGAGCGAGAGAGAGAGAGAGAGAAAGAGAGAGAGAAAGAGAGAGAGAGCGAGAGAGAGAGAGAGCGAAATAGACATGAAGAAGTCTTTTCAGTCTACATAATCATGCCACGTGGATGATGAGTGGTTAACCAAGGGAGTCATTTCTCGCGCTCTTTTTTACCGTCTTTGCTTGAATGCTCTTTCTTTGCTTCATATTCCTTTCTCACATTCTGTCTCACTCTCTCTCTCTCTCTCTCTCTCTCTCTCACATTCTGTCCTCCCCCTTATCTTTGCGGCTCTTTGTTTCCTTCACTTTTGTCGCTCACGTTCTCTCCATCTCTTTCTCTCGTCCACTATATGTCTGCATGTGATGAACAAAGGAGAGCGGATTTCAGTCTGCTCAACTGTGCCACGTGGATAGTGATTGGTACGCTCGTCATCTTTTTCATGTCCACCACTATGCCACATGGACAACGTGAATGATAGGTATGCTCGTCATCTTACTAAATCTGAGAGAGAGAGAGAGAGAGAGAAGGGATTTCAGTTTGTAGGATTGTGTCACGTGGATGATGAGTGGCCACCTGTTTTACTGACACTCATCCACACACACACGCACAAACACACAGACACTTCGAGAAAGAGAGAGAGAGAGAGAGAGAGAGAGAGAGAGAGAGAGAGAGAGAGAGAGAGAGAGAGGCTTTTTCCGTCTGAACGACTGTGTTCTGTGGATGGTAGGCAACGACGTTTTAATTCCCTGCGAAGCTATGGTGTACAGTCGAAAAGACACTAGACGAAACAGATGTTTGTGGTCTATTTTTCGGAACATAATATTCCCGCTGCTTTGTTATTGCATCTGTCTGAAAGATTTGAACTCTTGACCAAATAGTTAGGCACAGGTTCGAAGCAAAGTGAAAGTTGACAAATACTGTCTAAAAGGTTTGAGGCCGTAAGGTCGCCCTCTTCTTCCCGTTAGTTAGCAAAGCAAGGTGTGTGACCGAGCCATCACTTCTATGAAAGATTGCTCCTCCTCTCTCGTTCTCGTTTATGTTGATTTCACTATTTCTTGGCCGTTTAATCGAATTAGTTAGAGTTGTCATTTTTTCATGAACACACTGAGTGATCAGTACTTCGTTTTTTTTTCCCTTTTTTTTCATGTACTGCTTCGGGAAGCAAGTAAGTGACGCCCTTCGGTCGTACATGCCTATGTGCATGGGGATACATGGCTTGTGCTCTCCTCGGCACCCTCCTTCGTTGGGTAGCGGATAGCTTGTTCGGTAGATAGCAGATTGATGATATTAAACTGATCAAGTGTAGTTGCAGAGCAGTGTTGCTGACCTGAGGCAAGGACCTGCCCGCTTAAAGAACTGGGCGACCTGGGATGTGGTCTTTGCCGCACAAGGAGAACTCCATAGCCAGACGTCGAAGCATCCTGCACGTGCGCGCCACTCTCGCCACGTTCACAGTATCAAGCATGCCGAAGATCTTCATCGTTGAATTCTGGGTCAGCGGTCAGGTCATCCCATTTCACCACGTGGCATGCTCTCTGGGCAGTCGCTTTCAGCTTTACACCCAATGCCTGCATCTTCTCAAATAGCTGAACGTTATCCCCTCCTCGTCCGTGTGCTCCTCCTTCTCCCCCTACTCCTCCTCCATAGACAAGTTGGCCGATGGCTAGGCGATTCACCGCTGCCGCCATTTCCTCTTGCAGGGAACTACACCACATCGCCCACCAGCCATTCAAGCGTAGCGTCAATCTCAGACTGGTAATCCCAGTTGCCTGTTCCCCATCACGAACAAAAAAAAAAAAAAAAAAAAAAAAAAGAGTGTAACGGAAATAGAGGGGAGAGATGCTGGGACGTTGCTGTTTACGATGTAGCGGGGTATTCTGTGCGCATGTGCTTTCTTCCAACGGAGGGGGGTGCGGTGGGTTGTTCGCCCTTCAGTCGTACATGCCTATGTGCATGGGGATACATGGCTTCTGCTCTCCAAGCCACCTTCCTTCGCTGGGTAGTGGACAGCTTGTTCAGTAGATCGCAGATTGATCGCTGTCACTCATCCATGACAACTCTGTATCTGTGTGATTGGTTGATTGACTGATTTTTGGTCAATTGCTTTATTGACTGATTGATCGATCGATTGGCTGACTGATTGAATTGATTGATTGATTGGTTGATGATCGATCAAGACTGATTGATTGATTGATTGCCTGTTTATATGAGTGCTACTTCTCTGTGATCTAGAACTGTGCCTTTGTTTGCTTTTTTTCATTTTCTTTTGCTGTGATTTATACCTAGTTTCTGTGTCATGTGTTGTTTTTGCGCTATGCCTGTGGTATGCATTTACTATGGATGTACTCACGAATTCCGATCAAGCCCAATCAGTTTTCATATTGAGCTAACTGTTGTCAATATGCCACTCTGTTTTGACGCTTCGTATGCGATTATCCGCGTATGCAGGTACCTGACTACACAAGATATCCCATTGTTGACAAGTGCTTCTGAGCGAGGATCTAACACTCTGAATTCCATCCCAGCAAGCATTACAGGTCAGCATTTCATGATTTCATCTCATTCAACAGGTGTTGCGCTCTCACTCCAAACAGGCCACAACAGTATCCCACGTCAACATGCCACGTCAGCACTTGGATGAAATTTGGAGAATATCATAACATGATGTCATTTCACCGGCCTGACTCTATACAAATATTGTTGTATCTTCAGAAAATCTCCATTTGAAATTCGATAATACAAAAAAGATTAAATTAAATGCGGAAGTGTGTGGATCTTATGAATGCGTACGTATTCTCAAAGGAGATTCCATGAGTGATATAAAGTGTTCACTCTTCGCTCTCTTAATACCCTACGTATTCGAATTGAACGGTTGGAAATGATTCATAGACTGAAAGTTGCCACAAACAGAGATGGATTTCTGACATCTTTAACCCTACATAGAGTTGGGTTGTTTCATTCTGGTCTTGTCTATGTCCTCCTCCTCCTCCTCTTCCTCCACCTCCTCCTGAATTTGTTCAAACACTGTGTCCTATATCTGTCTCTCTCTTCTCTCTTTCCTATGGGACCTCGTTGTGTGTGTCATGTATATCCCTCTGTTCTGCCTGTGTTTAGATGACTGCTACTTCTCTGTGATCTTGAAGTGTGCCTTTGTTTGCTTTTTTAATGTTTCTTTTGCTGTGATTTATGCCTAGTTTCTGTGTCATGTGCTATTTTTGCGCTATGCAGGTGGTATGCATTTACTATGGATCTACTCACCAATTCCAATGAAGCCCAATCAGTTTTCGTATTGAGCTAACTGTTGTTAATATGCCACTTTGTTTTGACGCTTGGTATGCGATTATCCGCTTATGCAGGTACCTGACTACACAAGATATCCCATTGTTGACAAGTGCTTCTGAGCGAGCACAGGTCATAACTGCACCGAAGGTAAATTTGATACAGAAGTGGGTCAGTTTATGTGTCAGAGAAGTACATACTTCACATCTGACACTAACAGTGTGGTTTCAAGGCTTCAAAGATATGGCAAGTTCTTCTCAATCGAGAATGCCTTGTTTGCCACATCTGGATGATGGCTTCGTCAGGGTAATGGTGGATGAACAAAGAGGAATGGCAATGACACTAAGGAAACTAGATATGACTGTGGCGGTACAGCATCATGACGGTTGCTGTTGGGAACTATGGGCATTGTATCATGACCAATCTGAGCTTATTTGCAGAATGAGATCATGGGCAGAACATCTCAATGCAGAGGATCTAAAAGTTTGCATGAAGAGTTATGGAGGGGGCGAGTTCTTCGGCAAAACATTTATCTCATTAAGAGGGCGAGTGTTGCATCTGTTTGGACATGTTGTTGGTGAGAGGACAAAGAGAGACATAGTGACCAGCTCTCAGTCTATCACTGCATTTCACGACTACTCTGACACTTTCGAGAATCCGAGAGAGACTATTGAGATTCCTTTTATCTCCAGAGGGTCCAGACCACATCGGTTGAACAGAATCGTATATGGAGATATTGGCAGTTCACCAACGTGCAGAGAGGAAAAAAAGAAACGTGAAGGAGAGGGTGTTTCTATGAGGAAGGAAGGAAAAAAGAGAAACACAGATAAACAACAGATAGAGCCCACAACAATAAATGTGACATGCAATAACTGCGGTCACAATATAGATATCTCACATATTGTCCACCGTCACTGTGAGGAGTTCTGTAGAACACATGCGGAGTGACTTTGTACGCTTTGTATTAGTAATACATGACCTGCAGAGTGAGTGCTTTGTACGCTTGTATTGGTAATGCAGAGTCACTGTGAGTGATCGCGCGAGGGGCCCAGTCCGCTTGTCCCAAAAGTCGTGCCCTCTAACGAGGTGGCTTCAGTTTTTGGATTGTCTATGTGGTTGGAGGGGGAGGGGGGGGGGGGGCGAACTGTAGAATACAGACCCTTACAGAGTTGAGTTGAAGTTCATATATATCTGAGCTGAAGTTCAGATAGATCTAGGGAGTCCAGCAAACGGTGACATTTTTATGGACAAATAAGTATGTTTCAATTTTTTGCATAAAAGTATGTGAGTGTTCCTGGAGATTCCACATACAGATGTCTTTTGTGTTAAAATCTCACAGGCAGAAGAGAGATAAGATCATGTACATTGTAGAGTTCTCTTTGAGAAAGTATGTGAGTGTTCCAGGTGATTTTTTAGTGCAGTTCTTATTTTTTTTCCTTTGGTCTTTCTCTTGTTGTCCCTTAAGTGAAAAAGATTCTCAAGCAGGGTAATGGTTGAGGTACTGCTTGTGTAAATTTTGCGAGTTTCTGTCAATAGTTGTCATACTGATCTTCTGTGCCATTCCAATTTGAACTGATGTGGCATCCTTGTGCAGGGGCCATACCGATCTTCTGTGCCATTCCAATTTGAACTGATGTCGGGAAGGACAAAATTGTTTGTTTCTAACATTTTGTAATCTGAAATCATTGATGCATCATGTATTTTTTTTCTGATATTTAGGTTATGGATATGTTCACCAAAACGGAAGTCATTGAAAAAGTGACCATAACAAAAAAAACAAGAAGAAGCAGCATCACAGGTTATGAAACAAGTATCACTACAGAAAGTACTTCAATAAATCGTGACCTTGACACAAAAGGCGAGTTGATCGAACAAACAGAGGTAAGTAATGTCTTGCATACGACCCTTACTCAGATCACCATGTGATTGCGATGTTGATATCGACTTCACGTGTTCCACTGTGATGTTTGTTTATTACTGAGAACAATCTACCATATACCTGTTGTATGAGATGCAAGTTCTGTTATTTACCCGAACATGGGTTTGTTTTATGTAGCGAAAACTTAGTAATACAAAAATCATAATAATAATAAAAAAATATAAACCGAGATTTTTTTTCTTTTTTTCAACTGTTTATTACTTTACAAAGTCGGGAATCGGGCCCCGTCCTCCCTTGCAAAAGAGGAAGGTAAAACCCCTGAACAGGTCAGAGGGCCCAACCAGTGTTTACAACGAGCAATCTGTGGATGCAATACAAGCAAGCAGGCCAGCGTCATATACTATTCTCCTATGTACTATCTCCCCCAGACACACTACACCCGTGTTTTCACCAGTTCTGAATTCCGCCTGGTTATACAAAACTAAAAAACTTTAGCAGCACATAACTACAGACCTACAAAAATGCCTCCTGCGTCTACTGAGGCACGGAAGCAGCATGCCTATCCAAAACTGCAAACATGTAACAGCGCAGAACTACAAACCTACAAAACTGCCTCCATTGCCTCTACTGAGGCACAAAAGCAGCATGCCTATCCTGGAGTTATCATCAAGGAGCAGCAAGCAACCAATTTTACAACCAGCTAACTGCAGCAAAAGAATAAATGTAGCATACAAAAGATAATAGGCATAGTCGAAGGTGCAGTCAAAGAAAGAAATGCAATCAGACTCGATTGTTGACTTGCTCACAACATGCACACTTGAGAACTGATGGCAAAACCAAACTCTTTCAACTCAGAAATAACAATGAACTTGCACTTAACTCAGTTCAGAACATCTGTACAACTTGCGGCTATGGCTGCCAAACACTGACTCTACCACCAGCCTCAGTCTCCCTCATTCTCGCATGCACGCACGTACGAGGATCACCCTGAATGTCCACACTCAGCACAGCCTCACACACTCTGCACACTCGTCCACACCCGTAGTTGGGCGGCTACGGCCGTCGTCGTCTTCCTCCTGGTGGCTATGGTCGCCGGTGTCTCCCTCACTGGCTGGCCATGGCCGCTGTCACTCTCACAACCCACTTCATCGCCGGGCACCTGCAGACCTCCACGCACAAGATACCAAGGCAGCACTTCCACATGGCACACAGGCGAATGAATAAATGGCTGGACGCTGCCTCTATAACAAGGAGGTCCACCTGGCACACAGGCGACTTTGGGACCAGCAATGACGACACTAATTACAGCGTGAAATCATTTTCACTGTTTTTTTTCTTTTCTTTTTTCCCGCCTGCAACCAATGAGCAGCAGCTGGGGATTCCGCTCTTACTGCTTCTGCTCTTCTTTCTGCTGCTGCTGATACTCCTGGAGGCACTGATGTTGCAAAAGCATCAGCAGTTGGTGCTGCATATATTCGTACAGGAATGCGATGTGCAGAACCTGTTGCAGGTGTTGCTCCATGTCTCGATGTAGTTGGTACTCCAGGTTCTCCTTCCTAATTGTAACAAATTTTATCCCGGACTTCCTGTGAGTTAGCACATTCAGGGTGACATGTGAGAAAAGATGTGGAACTAAAAATTGCAAGAAATTGGCAGTTCGGGGATGACACACACCTGACATACTCCATGTCTCTTCCAACACTCTGGGTGCCAAGCACTCGGAACAATGTATTGGTAGGTTGGACTTAAAACAGTTTTTGTCTATGCATTTTTTGTTATTTGTCTTTCGTATTCATTGTTGATTCAGACGTGCTCTCTTCTGCTCAACATGCATGCAAACAGATACAGATGTGGCTGGCGCAACAGCGCCCACACAGAAAACTGAGAAATTTGAACTTGACCAGGAATACAGTCAGATTCAACTTTATACACAAATGGCTATGGTGCACAGCGCCCAACAAGTTTCTCCTCCCGATCGCTGCATCCCGACAACTTGTTTGCACACACACAACACACACTCACTCACTATCTGGATCTACTCTGGATGTCTCACTCACATACACTCACATTCGTCTATACTAACACCTCCTACTAACAATTATGGTGGATTCCCTCTGTTAGCCCTCTTCTCCAACGGGCACCTGCAGACCATCGTACGCAAGCCACTACTTTGGCAGCGCTTCCACACGGCTCACAGGTAGAATGAATGCATGTGTTCACGCTGCCTCTTGATTTATACTTCGTCGATTGGTTGGCCGGTCCTATCGGACCGTGGCCTAGTTGTGCACAGTCCCATTGGTACTTGCTGACTGGATGCTTCCAGATACTACTGCCTGGACTGGTAGGTATTGCCAGGTAGGACTGCCCTTTAGACGTTTCTACACTGGACTGACAGCTAGGACCTACAAAGTGCCACCTATGACTATTCTAGACAGGCCTACAGTCTACTCGTGTGACTCTTTTGTACTATAGCAGCCACGACTCAATTTAGCTACGACCCCTACGCTACAAACCTATGGATCAAACCCATGCTACCCACATATCTACAACAGTTCCAAACAGGCAACTTTCGGGCAACAGGTCACGGGTTCAAACTCACACAGTCACACGGGGCATCATACACAGGTTAGGGGTAGGTCTAAGGATCAAACCCTGGGTGGTGCAGACTGTCGCAGATCGGTGAAAACCGTTTCTGAATCACTTGTTAAAATTAATGTGTTATTATTGATTGATGTTCACTTGACCTCTAAGCTTTGTTTTCATGAACTTTCTGTCAATTTTCATTCTAGGTGACTAAACAGTCATCAAAAAAGATGAAGTTCGCAAGAGATTTGTCGCAGTTGCCTCGACTGGAAAAAGTTTCTGCAAACAACCCTGATGCAGATAAAGAAGACCCATCTCTGAAGATGCAAAACGTGGAGGATGAAGAAGAGCTTGAAGAAGCCATTGAGGTATTCTTTAACCTTCTGTTTTTCTCACAATCTAATGTTTTTACTTTCTGCATTTCATTGTTTTCCGTTCTCCAGTTAATAATGTTATTTAAAAAAAAAAAAAAAGTCGTCTGCAAATGCAGGAGCGTTGTGGAAGGGTTCCCAAAGCTGGTCTATTTTCTGCATTTCATTGTTTTTCCTTCTACAGTTCCAAAATGGTTCCATACTATTGTCTCGTGCCATTTCTGTTTGGAGTTTTTTTTTTTCGGTAAGAAATGTGTTGCTTGAAAAATCTCTTTGTTTTCTGTAACTATCTTGTTAAACCTTCAGGTTATGCTGGTGGCGTGAACAGCCTTTGCATGCATACCTATCAGCCAGGGGAACCTGATTGGGTGAGCTTGTGCCAACGTCCCAGACTTTCTAGGCAGATAATATTTTCTCTTTGTTTATATACTTTCTGTAACATTTACTTTTTTTTTCCTCTTTCTCTTTTTTTTTTTTTTTTTCCGAATTTTCTGTCTAGGTCCGGCCGGACATCATGCTCTGTCCGGGTCTGTGTCCGGTGTACCCATGAAAAAAAGACTCGTCTACAATTGCAGGACTGTGGCGCGCGGGTCCCCAAAGGTGGTCTATTTTCTGCATTTCATTGTTTTTCCTTCCAGAGTTCCAAAATGGTTCCATACTTTGATTGTTTGAAACTACTTGATTCTTGGATTATGTGCAGGACAATGAAGAACTTGGTTCGCAGGTTTGGGATGAATTAGGGCGAATTGCCCTTGAACAGGCACAGCGAGCAGCATCAAGATGGGTATTGTCTCATGCCATTTCTATTGAGAGTTGTTTATTTTGTGTAAGAAATGTGTCGCTTGAAAAATCTCTCTGTTCTCTGTAACTGTCTGGTTAAATCTGCAGGTTGCGCTGGTGGCACGATCTGCCTTTCCATGCTTGCCTACCAACCTGGGGAACCTGATTGGATGAGGTCGTTCATAGAATTTGAAATCATCAATCCACACATCAACATGTAATACACATGATACAAAGTGAATTTTTTTTGCAGAATTTTTAAATAATCTCATAATTTTTTTTTGACTCGTCTACAACTGCAGGACTGGCGCGCGGGTCTCCAAAGCTGGCGCAGGACACGGCGAGGACCGTTCCGATGTCTGGGTGAGGTCGTGCCAGCATCCCGGGCTTTGTAGACGGATAATAACTCAATTTTTTAATAACCTAAAAATTTTAATACAAATTGTTTTCAATTTTTTTTATTTTTTTTTAAATTCTTGTTCACCTGTTGTCTTAGTTTTTGTCTATTCTTTTTATTTAAAGGAAAAAAACAAACAACAGAGATGACATCCTAGGCTACCAGAGTGGCCCGAGGTCATTTCCCCGGTCGGGGTCGGGGGGGGGGGGAATATTAGATTTTAAAATTTAAAACCAATATAGTTTTTAACTACGCTACCAGCCGGGCCGCCCGGGTCGCGGGTGGCCAGCCCGTTCAAGGACCAGGTAAGGTCCCAGGAAAAAAAAAAATTCCCAAAATTCCGAAAAAAAACTACGTTATGCAGAAAAATGAACTGAACAACTTTTGCCTCAGGGGCACATCGAAATTCTTCACCAAATTAAGCAAGAAAGTTTATAGGAAGGGAAAGAGAAACTCAGAGCAATCAAGGTGGTCTTTTCAGATTCTCTGCTGGGTGCTTTGTTTCCCTCTTCTTTTATTTTTCCTTTCCTTTATTTTTTCTTTCAATTTTCTCTTATTCTTGCCTTTTCTTTTGGATGGGTTTTAGAATCACTCTGCACAGTTCTCAGTCATTTTTAGAGACCCTCAAAAGGATACTATGGTAGCGTGGAAGGGAGAGGCTAGGAGGGCTGATGGGGGAACAAACAGGGACCACTGGTTCCCCTCAGTGACCCTGCTGGTCCCCTGCCCGCGGCCTTAGCTTGGAAAAGTACAGGATAGTTGGCAAAGGGACGCTGAACCCGGTTTCCAGCTGGAAGGAGGGCTTGGGAACAGACAAGGGCCGCTGGTGCCCCCCAGTGGTCCTGATGGGCCCCAGCCCAAGGCATTGTTTTGGAAAGTAAATGGGACGCTGGACCCGGTTTCTAGCATGCTATCTCATGATTCCTTATGATCTTCTTCCAAATGTAAGGGACGCTGGACCCGGTTTCCAGCAGGTGCTGCTCCCCACCAATAGATGGAGCCTGCCTGGGGGTGCTAGCGGTGACTGCCTGTATCAACACCGCTAGCATCACCCAGGGTGCTTTTTCCAAAAAAAAAAAAAAAAAAAAAACAATTCTTCACCAAATTCGAAATAGAAAATAAAATTTAAAAATATTTTATTTATTTTCATTTTTTTAAATTATTTTGGCCCGTCCGGACACGTTATTGATGATCACTTCAATCCTGATAGCATCGGAATTTCCTCATGTGTGTCACGAGAGTCCGTGGATACTTGAGACAGACTCCTCACGCCAGGAGAAATTCTCCAGACATCTGTTGATTAAAGTTTCTGGTTTGTTGTTCCGCAATAATCAAGAATTGTTGCCTTTCGTGTCGAAGGTAAATATAATCCAGGATTTTACTCTATGTCCCATTTCTTTCACTCTGAGTCAATGAAAAATTTAAAATTTCAGGTCTTTCATATATCATAAACTTGTGATCTTATTCCATTCATGACACCAAGGTGGCATATTGTTTTCAGAAATTTGTCTGTGGTTTGGATCATGGTTACCAATCAGACATCCAGATCCGGATTCAAACAATCCGGTGTTCGGGTCCGGTGTCCGGTTCGGAGGGTCTGGTTGGACCCCGATTTCAAAAACTTCGAATTTTTTTTGGGGGTTCCCAGGTCGTTTACCCGGACCTGGGGTACCCCGGAAAAATAATGCTGATGTTATTTGAGAACCGGTACCCTCTGCATGATACTATTGGCACACGAGTTCACTGCTTTGCTCTTATTTGGATGGAATCTTGGTGCATTCGAGTTCTCTGCTTGGTACATGACTATCTGGACTTCTGCATTATTTTGCAACTTGATTTTCTGTCTATTGCTCTCACTCATATTCCTTGCAATTTAACGACGTGGGAGGAGGGTCAGGCCGGGGCGACCAGGGATGGTAGGGCGATGAAGGATGAGAGAGTGATGAAGGATGGGAAGGGCGGGCAATGAAGAATGGGAGGGCGATGAAGGATGGGAGGGGGGAGCAGGGATGGGAGGGCGATGACGGCGGACAGAGATGAGCGACATTGACACACAAGTTCACTGCGTTGCTCTAGTTTGGATGGAATCTTGGTGCATTTGAGCTCTGTGTTTTTTTTTTTTTTTTTTTTTTTCCCCTGGACAAGCGGACACCGACACAGCAAACTGGACTGTCCGGGTCCAGTGCAACCATGGTTTGAATCTCAATTCACTTCTTTTGTCGGTTTTCACTTACGGTATGTGTATTTGCTTGATATCTTTTGTCCAATACTTGTACACAGATTTGCAAGCACATTGAGCTCAACAAGACAAAGTTCCAAGCCTACAATGAACTCTTTGTTCAAACGAACAAAGGTTCTAGATTGTTCGTTGATCTCTCGGTCTATAAGAGGAAGCAGTTGATGAGGTTGACATTTTCAACTAAAGATGGTCTTTCCTCACATTTGGTACCAACAGGTCGCTTTGGGACTCCGAAGTTCATGGTATGTTCTCTTTTTCAAACTGATATTGACCGTGTTTTAACCAAATTCGCAATGTATATTAGATTTTCACATCAATTTTGTATATGTGCAGCTAACATCAAATCCTTTCCATGTTTTACAGATTTTGGAGATCTCGATGACATGAAGAAGGTTTTCATTACAGCACACAAGGAGTCCTTCTCAAATGAACTTCCCAAACTGGTAAGTCTTCTCTAATGTGAACCCTATTTTCATCAACGCTTTTAGCTTGGTGCAGTCTGAGTACTTAGATTTTTTCAGATTCTTACTCAGGCTTCACGCAGGAGTGAACAATAGGCAGAAAGGGAGAAAAGGACGAGGAACGGGGGGGCTGTGACAAACAGTTTTGTCTGACACCACTAGGCAGAAAGCGAGAAAATAAAAACGTGGTCTGATACCACCCAGGGCTAAGTATAGAACATGCCGATCCAGAGCATACCAAAGTATCTGGGCAAGAGGAGACAGTTGGCCAAGACTAGGGCCCGCGCTGACGACGACCTCTACCCAGCACCATACAGGTGAAAGGCCCCGGGGGTTGAACTGCTACTGAAACCAATACCCAGACACTAACTACCCTGATTACAATGACATCTCCATTTACACAGCCACATAGCTTAAAAAAAAAAAGACTTCACCCAGGAGTGCAGACCCATAAAACTATGAGCCACTTGTGAATGCGTTTGCTGAAAGCGAGAGGGGAGAGGATGGGGAGGGGGGGGGGGGGGGGCGGTGAGGGGAGAGGAACGAAGATTGAGCTGGAAACTCGATCCAATCATACCCCTGCATTTAGCCTAGCAGCTAAAACAGGCAACGAAGGCAGCCACCTCCCTCCACACCACAGGATGCGAGCATTCTCCCTGAGGGTGTGTCGAAAAGACCGCACAACTGCAGGCCCAGAAGATAACATGCCCTGACACTTTCAGGGCATCCTTGTGCACCAAGTGTAGGAATATAAACAATGCAACATTCACGCAAGTTACCAACAGGCCTAGCTCATTCGATACACCCGTGAACTGACGTACACATGTGAGTTTGAATACAGATGGAACCTGCTTAATGAATTTCTGATTTACTTGCGGTCGGTCAGGCCGTGGCCCTACAAACATCAAAAAACAAACAGGGACATCTAATGCTTACAAACATCAAACACACAAACAAGGTAAAAATTAAGGGATAAAAATTCATAAAATTGGTTTTTTTTTTTTTTTTTTTTTTTAATTTTAATTTTATTTTAAACCCCAGGGTGTTGTTGAGGCCAAGGACCAGACTCACGGTGATCGCTAGCAGCATAGGCCACCTTCCCTACCCTTTACATTAATTCTCCCAGTGCACCCCCTATCCCTACTATCCTACCTCAGTGTGACCGGCAATCAGGACCATGACCCTCCCAGTATCGGGGGCAACTTGGACCAGACGGCAGTGACAAGCACCCCCTAACACTATCACACCCCAACCCGCTTTTCAAAGTTTTTTGGTGGATGATAGACGTTTGCTGAAAGCCAGGTACGTTGTGTCAATGTCTGTTGAAGCCCGTACTTGCTGAGACCCCACCACTAACACCCTCACCATAACCCCCCCCACCTGACCCTCAACCCCTGAAATACCCCAACCGCCCAAACCCCCAAACCCCCAAAGAAAACTTTTCTGTGCAAAGTTTTCTTTGCGGATTCATGGAGATCTCGGCGGTGACACCAATGGAAAATTAAAAACAAGGTGCGGGACTCGGGGTGTAGCATTATGCCACCGAGTAGCATTTGAAGCACTTACCTGTGTTTGTTTATGGAATCATGGACATAATTGCAATCATATACATCCAACCCAGAGCGTAAATGTTGTCAGATTATCTCAGATAAGCTTAATATACAACTCATGTGAGCATGCCGTCATATAAGCACGCACTAGCATGCTCCAATCATGAAATTTTGACTTATTGAAACCTCAGATAAACCAATCAGTTACACCCATTTAAAGGACAGAGTAGACTGTCCCCGTCATTTATGAAAGGTGGGTTCTTTGCATTGAGCGATCAAAGGGGGAGTTAGGCTAAGTACCCTTCTGAATGGTTGCATTATCTAAGACAAAGGGCAGAACTGTCCTGTGCCTGGTCCATAGCCATGTGTCTATGTTACATGTTGCCGTTGTTGCAGCGCGTCGAGAGCAACTGGTTTTTTTTTTTTCCTTTTTTTTTTTTCTTTCAATAACAGGATAGGAGTTTGGAACAAATTCCAGGTTCTGCAGAAAGTGCATCGAAAGCACGGACTGTTGAAGAGGTTTTCAATGACTATTCAGGAAGCAATGTTCTGACGAAGATGGTGCTGTCACCATTCCCGACACTCAATGATTTTGTTTTGAAACTTGCAAATCAACATCCATTGCCTGGTGAAACATGTAAGTTTTCTATCTTAATTTTTTTCTTCCCGAATAAGGTTAATTTCAAATTAAAAAAAAAAAAAAAAAGGCGTTATGGCTCTGTTCCCAATTCCATTCAGGGGAGCATCAGTTAGGTTCCTGTTCTGCCAGCAAATGAAGAGTAACCATGGACTCGCACGAACGGTTTTCTTTAAGTTAGCCTAAATTATCTACTCCTGGGTCTTTCCTTTTTCCTCTTGTCTTGTCTGTAACCTTTTAGCTGCCAGCTTCCTGAGGTCCCAGACAGGTGAGGTAAGAGCTAACCACAACCTCTGATGTGGTGCCACAACTGTTTTGTTCGGTGCATGTCTACAGTGCAAAGCCGCTTTCTGCTAAAACCCTTAACCCTTGTGGGGCTCCCACGTATATTTTGTTGGTTATGCTCCTGACAAACTTTCCTGTATCGCAACCTGCTGGCTCCGTATTCTGTCAAGCTCCTTCTGTTAATCTTATGCATGTGCTACTGCGATATTGTGTTGCCTTGGTTCTGAGGGGGTGTTGATGGTGGGGGAACAAGGTTTTTGTCCTTTTGTTGTGTGGGTTGGTTGCCACTTTTGGGTTTGTTGGGTAGATCTGAACTGACATGTTTGGGTTGGCAGGAAAGTTTAGAGTGCTGGGGAGAAATGACTGATTTTGGAGTAGGTTACCTTTAGGATGGGACGATGTTTTTCTGTTACACCTTCTACAGTATCGTTTGTTTGGCTACTTGCTGGGCTGTTTTCCTGTCTTTCTTCAAAGGGTTTTATCCCCTGGTTCTCTGTGTCTAGTTCACTGTGGGTGATGTCCCCTGCTTCTCTGTGTTTTCTATCAGTCTTGAAAACTTTACTTTTTCAAATTGGACAGGTGCGATACGGAATGTGACAATGTATGCAAGGGAACACAATCTTGTCTACAGGCTTGGTTTATTCACAGTTTCAATGCTTCTATGTTCTGCCGAGGCTAGTTTTACCAGATGCAGGTATCTTCATCTGCTTCTTATGTGTCTGCTGTCAGCATCCTACCCCAGGTGAACGCGAATTCTTCTTTTTATTTAAAGATGTGTACTACCGGAATCAAATGTGTATCTTGTTACTTAGTACTTACCTGTTTTTGTTTCTCTTGTTCGTTGTCTGTGTATGTGTGTGTGCTCATGTCTGTCACCAATGTTTGTAGCAGTTATGTATGTGGTCAACTGCAACGCAAGAACATGCAACACGAAATGTCACGATTTTTCCTGTAAAGGTGAGCTCTTTTATGCCCTAGAGGCATTCATCATGTTAACAACACACCATTTTAAGATTGTCATTCACTGTGCGCATTGTCAAAATTTATGATTTTCTTCCATGTACAATCCTTCTTTAGATTTTCAATCAGTAGCTATGAATTGCTTTTTTTCTAGGCTACCAACCAGGCGGTTGGCTTGGCCGTGTGAGGACCAGGGAAAGTCCCAGCAAAAAAAAAAAAAAAAAAAAAAAAAAAAAAAA